TGGTGTTCCCTTCAGCCATTTTTCCGGTACATTTAAAAGCCAGACGAAGGCTGGCAGCGAAGCTGCTAGTTATAATTATATAAGTATGTATTCTGACATCGAAAAAAGCAGGCGATTGTATCACTGTATGTCAAAAATTGACATCACTGTATGTCGAAAATTGTTCGTTAATATCAGCATTTTAAATAAATAGCTGCTGTTGCCAACATTTTTGTTTCAGGTTAGTATAACTGACACGATATATTTCTCCGACGATAATTCTTTTTTATTGATATTGAAAAAATATTGTTATATTACACTAAATTTAAATCATGACGTCATACGTATTAACCGGAAGTGTCAAAATATTTTGTTTCCTGGTTTGGCAATAAAAAAATTATTAACGAATTGGTTGTTACTTGGAAAGAATGAAGTGATTTCATTCGTACGGAAGTGTTTCTATACGTTTGCTTTTCAGAGGTACGTAAAATTTATAAATTTCACATTGGCTGCAGCCCGCTAGTGAAATATATATTGCACTAGGTGTTAGCCAGCACAAATTCCCCGTCGGGTACTTATCTCTTTTGGAGAATATTCTTTACGGTTGCATCACAGGTCAGGCCCTAATGGGACTCTCTCAATAACTGACAAGAGTAGGGAACAATATCAGTATACAGACAAATATCAAAGTATTAGCATAAATGCAAATTTGTTTTTGTCGTTTCATTCTTATGACCAAAGCAATACCTTTTGAATCCCATATTGAGACAGGATACGACCCCTTACACTATGTAACAGGAAAGAAAATCACGATTAACATTTTCTACAAGCTTCCTTCAAGCGTCCTTTAACCCTACGTGATTGTTTTACAGAGATCTCGGTTATATAAGAGAAGAGATTCCGTTTCATCTTCTCTTTTCTTTTTCTTTTTTTAAATTTTTTTTATGGAAATTCTTGTACCCGGTGAAGAGGATTTAATTTATTGCTCTTTGGAATAAACAGGATTTCTGCCTACAGCTAACCGTGTAAAGAAAATTTGCCTGACTCTTTTTTTTTTTTTAAATTTTATTATATTTTTGTTTCTCTCTTTACTTATTGCTATTAAGATTTTTAATCAAGCACGGAAATACTTAAAAGCATTCGAATGAATTTCAAAGTAAACCATCAATTAGTCAAGTACAAAGTCTTATACAGGTACACCTTTCACAAAAAATAAATAAATAAATAAATAAAAATATGCTGAAAAGTTTCAAATTTTAAATTACGTCTAAAAGAAGCGTTTTTTTTAACATTTTGTGTGTTACCTTTATTTATTAAATATAATGTTCTTCGCACTTAACCATAATATTCAGTTCAACAGCAATATCGCAAAATAATTTTAAAATGAGCCATCTTTAGAATTTTCTGTACACAGTCTTCCGCGCTGGAGATTAAAGTGTTTTTTTTTTTTTTTCCTTGGGTTTCCTTTGAAATCCTTGGGTTTTTTTTTAATGAAAAATTCGTTAACGTTTTACAAAATATGAAATCGATAATAAAAGAAATTCCAAATTTCAAATTTGGGCTTCCAAATGCCCATACTCGCAACAGGATTACGTTATTCAAAACTGGATGGCTCTAAGTACCGTTGTTTTGTCACCATGCGAGAAACATACATACATTCATGCAGATTCTTTATTACTTAATTTCTTCAAATATAATACAGGGCGATAATATTTGGTGGCAACAATTTGAAAAGTGAAGCAACGCTTATCGGGAATCGACGCAAAATGCCAAAACGAAATTAATAGTCCTTATGAGCAAATTCCCCCTTTGCTGTAGAAATTCATTTTATGTAAGTCAAAATGTCCTTTGAAATACATAGGGTAATAACAAAAGTGCATCTAAATGTGAATTTTAATGTTAATTTTAATTATCAGTTAAGCCAGCAAACATGCCTGACACCGACGGGCCATTTGAATGCACCGAATTATTTGATCTTTCTGGAGCAGGTTCTTCCTAAATTGCTTGGGGGGAAAAAAAAAAAAAAAAAAAAAAAAACCGATGTTCCACCAAAATGGGAGGCGCAACATGTGATTCCAACATGATGGGGCCCCTGCTCATTTTGGATTTCGGACTGGATGTTCGTAGCCATTTGAACAGATCATTCCGGCATCGATGGATTGCGCGTGGTCTCTGGCCCCCATGCTGCCCGGATTTATCGAGCCTTGATTTCTTTTTTGGGGCGCCATCAAAAGTGTCGTGCATTACGATCCTGTTGTGTCTGAAATGGATGTCGTGGCAAGACTCGCCTGCGCAGCTGCTGCAATCAAAGAAACTCCCGGTCTGTTTGAACATGTCCGGCAATCAGTGGTCCGTCGGTGTAAGGCATGTTTGGCGTCTGATGGTGCAAACTTCGAGCATCTGTTGTAGCATTCAAGCTCTCGTACACCGTTTGTATTCATGTCCAATAAATGTTTCAAATTAATCACTCTTGCTTCTTTTTCCGTCTTCTACCTCTGCTACCACTTACCCCTGACATTTCCGGGCATGGGTCCCTATGCAATTCTTAATCCTTATGATGTGCCCTACCTCCCCTAGAAGTTTGTGGCAACATTTAAGGTACACCCTGGATATATTTATGTGATGTACCAGATTTTGTCCGGAATAAATAGATTGGTGAAGAATCACTGATGTAGTCGTAGCTTAAATTATCAGACGATAAGTTTAAAAAACAGGATCCATTTATTATTGTTTAGGAGAAATAGCAGTTACAAAAATCATATATCCGGAGTAAATAAAAAGAATTACTAATAACTTTTTGTATGAAGTTTACTGCATCGTGACATTTAAGAAAAAGCCCCCGATATTCCTTTGCGAGTCCTTTTATAGCCTCTGGAAAGGCGGAGCTTCCAAGAAATGACGTCAGCTTCGTCAGCGAATCCAGTTCGCTTTAAATATCTCCAGAAAATTCTAAAACTGTACGTATAGAAAAGGCGGGAAAAACAACTAGACTACGGGGCTGCGGATTTAATTCCCCGTACTTTCAAATAAGAGAACGTCGCCATTAAAAAGGAAAAGAACATACGGTTAGAATTTTAAGTGTATTCTTGACTATGGAATTTTATTATTACAAATATATATATATATATATATATACAAAATGCATAAAGAGGCTAAAAATTATAATTAAAAATTTTTTTTAAACCCGTCCTGAGCTATAGCTGCAGGATTGAAGTAGAATAAACTTATTATTAAACTGGAATAAAAGCAATACAATTTCTCTATAATATAATAATTACAACCGTGTATAAGAAGTTTAACACAATATCAAAACAAATCCAGTTTTAAAGGAAGAATTCATGGTAGAACAAACTCGAAAAATAAAAATGCGAAACGAAGATATACGAAATTATACAAATAAAAATTAACCTCCTTCCATTGAAGCTTCAGTTCAGAACTCATCAGTGGAAAATTAATTGAAGCTTCATAAAAGTCGATTAATATGTATCGAAAATATGTTACGGTTACAATTATTGTACAGGGTGTTTATAAAGTCCCGGACCCATTTTGATGTTTAATAACTCATAAAATAATAAAGATAGATTAAAATTAATAACATAAATGGTTAAATAGACTCAAAAAGTTTCATGACCCTTGTCAATGAACTTCCACGTGTGTCCACTTCGTCGCACGGAGAATATCAATTCGATATTCAGTTTCACGCCAGGTACCGGCAAGCATGTCGGCAGCCACAGAGGCTATTGCGGTTGTAATTCTGGCTTTTAGGTCATCAATTTTCGATACTCTCCTCCTGTAAACGTTGTCCTTTACAAATCCCCAAAAGAAAAATTCCATAACATTGCAATAGTTGCCAAAAACAAAAGAGAGAAAATGCAATTAATAAGCAGACGATATTTAGAAAAGTACAAATATTTAGACTCGAAAATGAAATTATCTGAAATTAACCACACTCGCAGGAGATATTTACAAAAGTAAAGATATTCAAACCTGAAAAGGAAAATATATAAGTTATTTCATCAATAAATGCCATAACTTTGTTTATATCTTATTTTATGAGTTATTAAAAATAAAAATGGCTCCGGGACTTTATAAACACCCTGTATTATAGAGGAATTGCATTGTTTTTATTCCAATTTAATAATATAGTATTTAGATGCTTTAAGTTTATATATATATATTGTAATAATAAAATTCCATAGTCAAGAATACACTTAAAATTCTAACTGTATGTTCTTTTCATTTTTAATGGCGACGGTCTCTTATTTGAAAGTACGTGGAATGAAATCCACAGCCCCGTAGTCAAGTTGTTTTTCCCGCCTTTTCTACACGTACAGTTATAGAATATTCTGGAGATATTTAAAGCGAACTGGATTGGCTGACGAGGCTGACGTCATTTCTTAGAAGCTCCGCCTTTCCAGAGGCTATAAAAGGACTCGCAAAGAAATATCGGGGGCTTTTTCTTAAATGTCACGATGCAGTAAACTTCATACAAAAAGTTATTAGTAATTATTTTTTATTTACTCCGGAGATCTTCATTTTTGTAATTGCTATTTCCCCTGAAATATAATAAATGGATCCTGTTTATTAAACTTATCGTCTGATAATTTAAGCTACGACTACATCAGTGATTCTTCACCAATATATTTATTCCGGACAAAACCTGGTACATCACATATATATATATCTGACGAAAAAGATGTAGCAATGTTGATGGCGTAGAACTCAGATCCATACTGAAGAAGAAAGATTAAATATTCATTTTTATTTCAATTGACAGTTGTGGCCACAGTGCACTTGGCCACTTGTCATAAAAACTTTGAACCTTGTTTGTGGAATTTTCATAAAACAAGCTGTTAAAATTGTTGAGGGAATTTGTGGACAACTTGTATATTTATCAATAATGTAATATGATTACTTGACCTTACCACAAAGCATACTAATTGTAAATTAATGTATATAATTCTGTAATGCAAATTTCGCTTCATGATTTTATTTAATTAAGGTATGTTTAATGTTTGTTTTTCAGACATGTTGGAGACCTGGGCAATATTGAATGCGATGCAAACGGAGTCACAAACATCCTCTTCACCGATCATGTTGCTTCTCTCAAAGGACCTCATTCCATCATTGGAAAATCCATAGTGGTAAATTTCATTCTGCTAACAGGATTCACTTAAACTAATCCTGATATTAATCTCTTCTTGTAAAATTATGCGGCTGTTTCGGTAAAATTTTCGCTAATCTATTCCTTATCGATAACAGGTGACTTGGTACGGAATTGTAATCGAATAAACTTTGCGAACAATAATACACTGGCATCAAATACACTTGCATGAAAGACTAATACGAAGTGTTACTGTTAAATAACAAGACTTGAAACTCAGAACTGGTAACATCATCTTGAGCTCAAACATAATTAAACACTTACATAGTGTTAATTCAAATTGCGTTTTTCACGTCTCGAAAGCGCGACTTAGGATATGTATTAGATTTATATATAGCATTATTCTAATATAGGTATTTTGACACAAAATCGGACTTTTTCTGAAATGACAGGCCAATGTTTTTCCATATTTCGATTTTACAATTCAAATTATCCCTAGATATTAAATTTTGTAATTTTTGGTGAGAAATTTATGGAGAAATTTAAGCATTTATCTTGGTGCATTTTTGTTTTAGTTTGCGCCAAGAATAATTCACTTGGCGAACTACTTAATTTATAGCAACCCATTTTCCTTTCCTTTTCCTTCGTTGTCCATGAGCGGAAAAAAACTCATCTTACATACTTTCAAATAATTTTAACAAAGTGTTTCCCTTCGTTTACTAAGGACGATCCCCCTGTCTATATTTAAGAAAAACATTTCTGAAGAAGAAAAACTCAACCCCCATCGTTGATGTATTTAAAAATGGTAGCAATTTCACGTCCCGCAAAATACGCTTCAAATTATTCAAAAAATGCGAAATTCTGAATCTCAAGTATTTAAATTAATATTAGGACTGCAAGCTCTTCAAATTATGTTAGTTTTTTCCGAAATTGATGATTAACTCCGATTGGCCGTCTATCACCAGACTCCGCCTGCCCATCCATCTCTTCACAGCTAAGTATTGTTTAATGCGCCATTGCCAATAATTCTTTACTACTTTTTTAATAACTATGATTTTTCCTGAATTATCTGATTTCTCAGAGATTTATCTCTCCTCCCTCTGCTACCACTCAACCTTCTAGGCTTTCCTATTATTTCCCCCTCTTCTTTCTTTTCTGTTTTCCCCAACTCTGTCCATTTTTAATACTACTCTGATGTGGAGATGCTTAGTTTTGAACCACAGGTACTCCAAATGTTTTCCTCATTGGCAATGGAAAAACAGATTATAACTTGATAAAATGTATTTTACAAAAAGGAACACTTTACAGCTCTGGAGCTTTCCACAAAAATACTCGTACAGCTGTTTTCAACATCACAGAACACTATCAGTAGTAACACGTCAGACCACCGAGAACGTTAAACACAACGCAATGCAACGCGCTTCTGAAAAAGCGAAGTTTATACGGAGATCTCACAATACTCCGAACTCACGCTGAACTGGACAACTGAGAGTGATGTGGTCTCTGTGGTCTTATATAATTTTCGAGTGGCCGCCGAGAAATCTCTAGTACCTTTCACTTCTCCTAATTACTGGAAGGCATATACGGTTATAGTTGCATCTGTACCTTCTAAAGGCCGGATACAGGTACAGTTTCATGTAAGGATGAATTACAGTTATTCAGTTGCAGTACCAATTAACAATTGTACACAGACCGGACAAAAATGTCTCTATAAGGTCGCCAAGTTTGGCGACTTTGAGCGATTTCGTTCAACATTTCTCAAAGGATCAATTACAGTTATTCAATTTCAGTACCAATTAACAGTTGTTCACGGACCGGACATAAATGTATCTATACGGTTGCCAAGTTTGGCGACTTTGAGCGATTTCTTGCCAATTTGGAGAAAAAAAATTAGTTGCTAAAAGCATAGCCAGCTTGGCAATATCTTGCCAATTTAGTGAGACAGCCATTCACCTCAATATTAAATAGACTTGCACCTGTAGTCCTGTTTTCTCGGCAGAGCTTCAGCTCTTTCAAGCATTTCATGTTACCTGATACAAAAAAATACTACAATTTCACATATAAATTTCGCTAAAATTATTTACATATATAAGAAATCCGTAATAATACAAATAGTGTATATGAATTATGTACTGTATATAGATTAACTACGTATATAGTACTGTAAGCAAATGAAATATTGTACATAAATGTTTTTCTGTTATCCAGATTAAAAAAAATTTCTGAGCATACTCTGATGTAGTTCTCAGCAAGAGGCGAATGTGGCCAGCCTTTTATTTAGTTGTTCAGTTTTACTTTATATAAAGCTACTTTTATTTCAAGTTTTGGTATTTAGCAACATTTTCTACAGTTTGTGGTGTTTAATTTCAAAAACACGTTAAAAACAATCTGATTTTAAAGAATTGTATGTGCATTTTTCGAGTTTTGAAAAGGATTATTTTGATTTATTAATTTTAATTTTGTATAAAATGATGTTTAGCTATCTATATATTAATGAAAAATTCACAAATGAAGCAAATCTCTCCGTCTATTTGATGGTATTTTGCCTCAAATGGTGTCAGATTTCAGTTTCATATTTTAACAAAATTCCTCTTTCTATTCTTTTATTCCTGCCACAGATCCATTCTGACATTGATGACTTGGGACAAGGTGGCAATCCGGAGAGTCTGAAGACAGGAAACGCTGGAACCCGCCTCGCCTGTTGTGTGATCCAGAAGGTTGAAAAATTACCCGTTAAAACTTACAAAGCAATCAAATCTGCCACCTTGTATCAGCACCGAAGATAGGATTAAAAAGCTTCCGGTGTTTTGATCATAAACTTGTATTCTTTTTTTTTATATGAAATGGAGAATGGGTTCATAAAATCTGTTGTCATGTCAAGGTCAAAGGAAATTTGATCATTTAAGTGTATTCAAATATATATGATCTTTTTTTTATTATTATTATTTCTCATTCTTTTTCAAGATGCAGAAGAAAAATTGATACACCTTTCCATTGATATCTGATGTGACAGCAATATATGCTTGTGAATTTCTGATGCTGTATAATAAAGTTCTTGAATAACTCTCGGAATTTTTCATTTTCAAAATAACTTGAATGGCTTATGTATTTCTGCAGACTGGTTTGGTTTTTTGATTAAGTTTAGCTTCTACAATGGAAAGATATCAACAATTTTTAGTGATACCTTACATTATTCCGATTATAACACATTCTTATAATAATTATTTCGATAAATAAATGTAATAAAGCCAAGTTAATTTAATTTAAGAGTTTTAATTTTGTATTTGGCAACAATATGCGAATAAAAAAGGAAGGGAATTTCCATTCACATTTCAAAGAAAACTATACTAATTGTGTTGCTGATGATATATATACTGTTTATATACTGCTTTTTTCTAAAGCAAAAATATCTTCAAATAAGTAACAAGACCAGAAAAGTACAACATGACATTTTGTAACAAAATTTGATTCCTCGCTTTTATTTATGAATTACTAACTTATTTCTGACATTTTTATGAAAAAAAAAAAACTATTAACTACATATAACATTAAATTAAAAAAAAAAAAAAAAATTTTAGCAAATATTAATTTCTATGGCAGAAGTTAAGGTTTTTCAGCCTAGACTTATTTATTTTTCTCTGGAATATTTTCTATGATTTTTGAGCGATTTCACTTTTACAGCAGAGCACTTTTTGATAAACATTATTATATTTCCAATTATTTTGAAATAAAGAGAAATGAAAACAGTAATATACTTTACAGAAGCTGTTTACACATTTTTAGAACGATTTTGGTAAAGAATTTTAAAAAGCAAATGTTTTTGGAATTAACATTTTTGGCAACAGCTTATTATTTGAAATGAGAAATATCGTCTGCCACTTTTAAATTTATTATTCTTTCAAAACGTAGAATGCAAGCAAGCTGTGGATCGCAGGATATGTTTTTGCGTTTTCCGAAGAGGAATATTTGTATTCTGTAATCCAGAAACCTAGTGAAATGGATCGTATTAAAATATCTAAGTGCGAAAATAAGCATCACTATTAATCGAAAACGGAAAACCCAGGTCAATTATGATTTCTACATCCAAACGAATGCCAGAAAAGGTAGGTGTTTCTAATATATTTTAAATAATATAATATACTGTTTCTAATATACTTTAAGTTTGAAATAATGCAACACAAATTTCTCTAACTGCGAGGAAAACGTTTTATGTTGACATTTATAGTTTGTTCTATATTTTGTGTTCACAGTAAGGTTTATGGAATAAAAATAACTCGATAATATGAAGTAACTAAGAATGAGCATTTAATTGCAGGCAGTTAATTAAGAATTACCTTCAGTTGTTACAACTTTTATTGCAAAACATTATTTAATTCAACTTGTAAGTTTGCTTTGATATACTTTGATTTCGGTTGGCTTTTCGCAGCATAAATTTGTAAATTTCTTGATATTACCATTAAACGCGGTTTTGATTTTAATCCCATTTCACAGAGTTTTGATTACATAACATGAATGCATAGTTTCTTAACATCAAAGAACATATTACATTAAAAACCTTACAAAAATCAGCGTTGCCACGAATTCTTTTAATTCTTTCAAAGTGTTATTGAATTTAAACGCAACCACCTTGGCGCAATTTGGTAGTTTTTTGCAGATGAAATGGTAAATATTACATAGAGTGTAGGCTGGGGACTTTCGTTGCTTTTTTTTAAATACACTCCTAAACTATAGATATTTAGAGTAAGTCCGCAAAGGTTTCCACCATATTAAAAGAAAAAAAAAATAAATGCAAATTATAATTGTTAAATGAGGATTATTAGATACATTAAAAAGTATTTTCGTGAAATCCTTCTGTATTTTAGCGTTGTTATCCTTCGTACACAGTGATCTGTTTTCGCTTTAAAAATATCACAAAAATACACAAACTAAACAATTAGCACTGGTTATCTACGAAATGCGTCTCATCATTGTTCTTTTTTAGAGACTTTGCTGCAAAATTCTATATTCTTCCAGAAATTTTACAGCAGTTCCTTCCATTGTTGGCAAATTTCACAAACGGTATTTTAAAAATTGAGTTTAAAACATCAATATCATGATGTATCTATAAAAACTGTTGTAACTTGGAACACAACAAAAAGAATGCAAATAAACTGGCGACATTGCTTGCATGAAGAATTGTTAACTAAAGAATTGTTATGCGCATACCTATCAGAATTTGGCATTCTGAAAATTTGGTGACTTTTAATAAGGTGGTTGCAATAATACGTAAGTACTAGAATTCATAGTTACGTTGCAACGTTTAGCAATTTTCATTTCAAATTTAAACTACTAAGTAATTGTGAGAAGAATTAATAATTTTGAACTATAACTCAAAAATAGCATAAAATAAACTCAAATAATGTTGATCTAAAACTCATAAAATGATATAGTTTTGTTAAATTCGAACCATCCTTTATGAAAAATTCTGAATGTCCAAAATATTATGTGAGCTCGTTCAGAGTTCTGTTTGAAGAAATCGTTCTGTTTTTAAATACGTTTCCGAGCATGTTTTTGTTTTTTACTTCCTTGTACGAAGTAAAAAGGAAGTATTGTAATCGCGAAAAGTTTCAGGCAGCATATTTCAACGAAAATATCCATTTTGACCGCTATAGAATGCATTGAACGATTTTTTGTGTGATATCTGACGTAAGGAGAGAAAAAAGACTCGTTCCCCCCAAAAATTTAAAACGGCTTAAATGAAATCTGAAGAGAATTATCGTTGCGTCTGTAGACGATGTAGAACGATCCGCATAACTCAAAAACGAGTAGCCCAGAAACGTGAAATGATATAAGGACTTATAACATAGATGTGCACCCTTATTTTGGTTGCAATCGGCCTCACCAAACGTATAAATATATTTTATCTAATCCTTCTGTACCCGTCAGTGATCCGGTTTCTTTATTCTTTAATTGTAATTGTAAGTTTTTTTAAATGATGAATTATGTTTGTACGGTAGTTAGGTTTTTAACTTTATAAATCTCTATGCAATGTTTTAGAATATCACAATTTTAAGTGTTTAAGTGACGCTAAGCCTAATAAGGTTTGATGGCGGTCATGCTTGTTTACATTGAAACGCAGGATGGATTTGTTGCCATCTAGAGAAACTAGTTCGCAACAACAAAGAAACGGCCTTCATTATTATTTCGAATTAAATCATGTTAATCCTTTCTGGAATTTTTCGAGGCAATAAGTGTTTAAGATTTACTTCGTATTTTAATACAGATATTTGAGTTTATGTATTTTTGCCTTGTCGCGAAGTGAGAAAACTGAATTAATTGAATGAGAAATACCAATCGTCTGTGAGAAAAAATTTTTTTGTTTTGTTTGCTTAATTCCTTTTATACATCGTTCTAGGTTTATTATAGTATTTGAATAGAACATGTGGCAACGATTAGATAATTCTTTAAATGATATAAATTTTGTGCATTCTGAGTTATAATATGAACGAAATATAATACTGTAAGTGAACCTAGCGCCAGAGTGTCGCTATGGCAAACTAATAAAGTGAATTTTAGAATAATTTATTCTATTGTGGTTTTTGCTCTGTCGGCGAAGTATTAATCAATCCAATAACGTTTAAATGAAATGCAAGAAAAATGCGTATAATTTAATATTCCGTACAAGGAAGTCATGTGGTGTAACATAAGATTTTTAGAATAGGGAACGACGCTTTCAAGCGCCGGGTCACGGCAAGATAGAATTCAGAAAATGGTAAATGGCAACAGTAAGAAAAAATGTTGAATACCGTTTTTAGAACAACAGTAACTGGGAAAATATATAAGGATAAACTACATTTTTTTACTTCCTTGTACGAAGTAAAAAGGAAGTATTGTAACCGCGAAAAATTTCATGTATCCTAATTCAACGAAAATAACTACTTTGACCGCTATCGAATTCAATTTAATGATGTTTTTGAGTGACATCTGTACCTAAGGGAGAATAAAGAATCTTTCCTCAAACGAATTATAAAATGATTTAAAGGATTCAGAAGATTTTTTCTGGTATGTACGACGTAGTATTCGCATAACTCAAAAACGAGTAGCCTCAGAACATGAAGTTTTGTATTATGGATGCTATAACTGTAGATGTGCACCTCCAGTTGGTTGCAATCGGCGCACAAAAGTGTAATATATTATATCCTCTTATGGCTCTGTGAGCTCGTTCTTTCTCTTCATGCCTGTAAAATATTGATAGTTAATTAAAATGCTTTCAAATCTTGATACTATGTTGTGTTGTTTTTGTTTTTGAGTCGCTTTTCGTTCCCACCTTTGCCAGTTACCCGTTCCTTTTTCCCTGTCGTCCTCTTTTTTTTAAACTTCAAGACTTTGGACTTAACCCTTCGATTTGTGCCCATATTAGTTCCCTTTACTTCTTTCTTTTTGTATTGGCTCTTAAACCACGCTCCATTTGCCTTCTCGTCCGTTCTACTTATCCTATTTGCCCATAAGCAGCCGGTTTCTACCCCTTCATGTGTTGTTGATGAGTGAGACCAAAAGTAAACTTTCAATTTTGTGCACCGAAAAATTTGCCTTCTTGCCCGCTGGCCAAATTGGTTCTTTTTGCGTAGAAACTGTAATTTGAATTGTAAAATAATTTTTGTAATTGTTTTAACTGTGTTTGGTGTTTTATGTTTTTCTATATCTTTCAATTTTTAATATAGATATTGTAAGTTTTTTATTATTTTTGCCTTGTCGCGAAGTGAGAACTGATTTAATTGAATGAGAAATTTACCTCTAATGAAATTAGAGGAAATAAGTTTAAATGAATGCAGGAAAAAATGAGTATAATTTAATATTCCGTACAAAGAAATTATGTGGTGTACACATTAGATTTTTTAACGATGTTGAAGTGGACAGACATTGGACGGCAAGTGTCAACGATGCGACAAATGTTCATAATATGTCTTCTATTTGGGGGTTGGATATGACTGGTAATTCTTTCTTTTATGATGTGACTAATAAAATGTGAATGCATTTTAGCTACAAGATCTTCTATCGTAATACCAAAATACATCTGTTAGTTTTAAAGGTGA